GACTGAATCACCCTGTATATGTCAGTAAAAATTTATTAACTAGCATTTTTTTCGAAAATGGACTCTTTTGTAGTGAAGTAAATGAATTTTGTGTTTTCAGATTGTCACAATTTTTTTCTTATTATTCTGTTATCTCAAGTTTTAAAATTTTTACAATAAACTGATGAGTTTTAATTTAATTGTGTATCTCTATTAATAACAGAGAATTAAAAAAAACACATATATTTTTCTAAGAACGAAATCTAAGTGTGCAAAAAAATATCTAATTCCATATACAAGATTGCTAAATGTTGACATTGCAGGAAACAACTACTTTGTTTGTAAGAATTTTTGAATTTGTTTGAATTAGCTTAATTCTTGTAGGATATATCAAACACTACAAGATTAAAAACTCTTACACGTAGTAAAACTGAAATTTCAACAAATTCTACTAGTTTAAATTCGTAACTTTGGAACTGGAGTCAATTTTAGCGATTTGCGGCAATTTTGATGCTAATTGTACTTTAAAAACAAATTTTCAACACGACTTCAACCAAAACTTAGTACATTATCCTTTTATTTGGAATATATATTCCCTAAGCCTTTTAACGGTTGCTTTTAAGTTGATGGGAAAAACACAACGAAAACAGTACTGGCAAATTGACTGTTATTAAACGTATTAATGACTTGTTTAATATACCAGGGGATTTTTATATTAGGTCGTTATTTAATTGATCTTTATTAACCCCCCCACATCATACATAACCGTTTTTAATTGTGAGAGGGTAAAGGGTACACAAACTTCGTGTGTGACTATACACGACCATTTACAGACGGCATTTAAACAGAGCAAGTTTATGTTTGTGCATTCGCCTCATAAACCTTACTTCTTTTTGTCATTTTTAACGTAAAACAATGGACGAAAAAATAATGCACTGGTTACTTATATTGACACAATTTTTTATTATTACAAACAATATGGGGAAAAATAGAGTCTGAGACTGGTAAATTATTTACAATTCCAGATTCTAAAAATGGTATTAGATTGGAAATTAAAACTGAAATTTCACGCATTTTTATGCGCTATCAAGCAGGTAGATGTTACAACCAACCAGTCGGCAAGAATACCCTTTCTATGATTCCTAATAAGATTGCACAGTTTTTGAAACTAGAACATCATGAAACATATACCATTCATTCCGAAGAACATCGGCAACGTTACTGGCTAATACAGGAGTTGTTGTATTAGCAATCAAGAGACATGGTGGGTGCAAATCAGCTACAAATGCAGAAAGTTATGTTGCTGAGAGTTTAAGTAACAAAAATGAAATAGCCAACAGGATTCTTTACAATGACACTTCAACTCCAGGTTCTAGTAGTACGTCGCATCATGCTGTTTTAATGGATCAGTCATGAGCCTCCGGTGACTGAAATTAAGCGGTCAAATCATTTTGAGAAAAATGTGACAATTAGTAAACGCGAGGGGAATAATTATCCAGATTTTATAAATGTTGCTAAATGTAGTAATTGTACAATTACTATAAATATTCATTCACAATAATTAATAAAATATAATGTTCATCAAATATTTCTATTTATTTGATCATAAAATATGTATTTATAATTCGAAATATATTTTTTCCCTAGTGGGAGCAGATAAAATTCTTAACAAAACCCGTTGAGAAAAACGATTTTTCTGTAATGAGAGCTTTGGGGTATGTATGTTCGTGGTAAAACAATTGTTGACGATTATGAAAATCAAATACTTTTTGAAATGCATGTCATTGTCATTAAAATGTTCAGAACAGGTGATAGCACCTAATAATATTACTGGTTTTTCTGATGATGTCATCCACGAGTGAGTAACAATAATATCCACCAGGATAATTGCCAGTATACATTTAAATACATAGTCGCTACTAGATAATCGAACACATATATACATGAATTGATAAGATCTTATTCAAAGGTAATGATTTATTTTCATGTAAAGATATTCCTGTCTGTCACAGAATCAAAACAGTAGCAAAAATCTAGGAATCCCAACATTTACAGGTCGATATATCTGTTACGAAATAATGTTATTGAAAAAGGAAACCGTTACAGCTTTTTTTTGTATTGTAAGATTCGGTATTCAGTACAGAGCACGTTAAATCGGCATATAAAGTAAAATTGTGAATAATCATTTCGACATTCCCATTAAAAATACTTTTTGCAATTTCCCTTACTTGTACTTTGTGTCTAACTATTTCAACATTCCATTTCGAGTAAATATTACGAGGCGAGTAATGCAATCCAGTTGCACCTGTTTGTAACATCAGATAACGCGGCTGCCTCGATTAATGCGCAAAGTTTTTCAGTAGTTCGTCGCTTACGTTGCGAAAAAGATGTGGCATCGTTAGCATAAATTTTTTTTCTATACGACATGGGTATATCGTACTTCATTTTTAGATATTGGCGACAGCTTTTCTACAACCGAATTTTAACCTTTTCTTTTCAAAAACGAAAAATTTAGTAGAGGTAAGTTGTTTAGGAAGCTAAATATCTCAGTGTTGTTGAAAAACTTGTTCCCATATTTATTTAGCCACACCCATATACAGGTCTGGTCGAACTAAACGTGGTGGTGGTAGAAATGTCCAGTTGAAGAATGCGAACGCGGGCAAACGAAATACAAATACAGTTGCATTGAGCTACTGCGCAATAAATCTTAGCCGTTGACAAATGGTCGACAAATTGGCCAGCAGTGCAGTGCAGCAATGCGGAATTTGGTGTGATTCAGGTAATTGTAATTTATTATAGGCACCTTCTATTAATCATTGATATTTCAATTGCGAAAGAGAGAAATAATATTATCACAACATGGCATTTTGGAGACGTTTTGAAACGGAACAAAACGAAATTTACCATCAATATAATAAAATTGTTTGAGGACATAAATAATTAACATATGTTGTTGGCCAAATGAACATATAATAGAAATTTTCTGCACATTATATACAAATTATTTTAATTTTTTACCTTTATTAGATTTTAGGGACGCCTATGACTCATTAAATTTTATTGCCAGGCGTTTTTTTACATGTTCAACTGACTTCGGAAAGACTATTACATTTTTTATGGGGTATTGGCTGGCCGGTTCATGTAGAACGATTTTCACAATTAATGTGCAGGAAAAAATAGAGGAATACAAATTTCAAAGAAATTTAAAATAGTTTAATAGTTCTTCACCAGTCTCGTCGGTTTGTGACAGAACTTATATACAGGGTGTTATTTTCGTTTTCAAGGTCAAGGTGTCGAACTTTTTAAAAAAATCGCATTTTCGTAAAAATCTTAGTAATCCTTTAGCCGATTTTGTTGGTTATTTATGGTTAGAAAGGGGCCAATTTAGCCCTAACTAGATTAATTGTAAAATTATTAAGTTCAGTGGTGTCCTGGGGGCACCTTAACCATTTTTTTTGACAAACAAAATGTGTTCCACCGACTCTCTTACTTGACTTTTTACTCACTTTAAAAAAACATTTTTAGTAATTAATAAAACACAAAAATTTTTTTTAGCTAGCGTTAATTTTTATAACAATTTCTAACACTAGAATAGACTATTGATGTGGAAAAAAATAACAGGTTCGCCCCAGTTTTTGATTGTTTTAATTATTTTTATAATGTTGTCCCAGGAATATGCAATTTGGGATTTTATTTATTTTTTCTCCAAAAAGAAAGTAAGATACGAAAAAAATTCAAGATGCAAGAAAGTGGTATTTTTAGTTGCTTAATGCGAAAAAAGTTTTTAAAAAGTCAGTGGCGTACAAATATTGGTTAAGGTGCCATCTGGGACGCCATCAGAGTTAATAAATTTTAATCTAGTTAGGGCTAAATTAGCCCCTTTCTACCATAAAAAATGCTGCCAAATTTCAGCAAAATCACCTAAAGGATTTATTAAGATTTTTACAAAAAAACGATTTTTAAAACAAGTTTGACAATCTGTGTCTTGAAATCAAAGCACTCAAAGAATCACTCCTTGAAGTTTGGTCACGTACTTAAATAACACCCTGTATATCATTCCTTAAACATGAAAATAAAGAAATATTCCAAAAACTGTCGGGTTTACTACTAATTATATTACATCCTGTAGTTAACAACAATAAATAAAATTTAAAATTAAGTTCAAAGGAAATGTAAAAATGGCAAACAATAAAATTTGGTAAAAATTCCATAGAAATATTCTGTAATACCTAGTATATTCTTAAATAAACAACAAAATTTCGTACGAACGCTATTTTTGCTTTCGCAAAAATATATTCGCGTCCGTTCTAACATGAATTAGTCTTGTAACGTATACCTAGTGATGTAAAATTTCATTTTCCATAAAAAAACTATTGTTGAAAACGCATCGTTTAAGAAAAACGTAATTGATTGACCGTATTCCAAGAGATAAAGTAAATTGATAAAGATAAGTTATTTTTACAATTTTTCTTTTTTTTCTTTCCCTCTGAAAAATTTTCGGCCTATAAATTTTTTGATTTCTTTTTCAACGTTTTCACTAATATTTACTAATAATTTTGGTTGAGGTAGGTATACCTATATCTAAATCGATTAATTTTTAACAGAGAAAAACACCGTTTAAGTATGGCCTGTTCGCTTCCGGACACCCTGTATATTAAGGAGTAGAAGCCGCCTATCTTTGGGAGTAATTTTCTCAGAGGAGGACATCTTTTATATACAATGAAATTACGATATAAGACATACATTCTAAAAAAAAACGTCAAAAAAAGTTATCGACAAATAGTATTGAACATCCTTAAAAACTCACCTATTCCAATTTTCTATGCATTATGTTGTACTTTGGAAAAGATGTGGTTAAAATTGTATCTTAAAAAATTACCTTGGACTCTGCATCTCAAAAATAAAAGACGATGGACCATTTTCCAAAGGAAAAAATATTATTTTTGTATAACCCGTATAACAACCGCATAATTATTACAGTTATAAAATGAAAGGACAAAAAGATAACAGTTAGGACTCACATCTAAACAGGCATGTTGCAGCGACCGCACGTCCATCAATATCCCAAAATTTCCGAAGACAAGGGAAAGAAAATTTCGAGACACGCGGGATCGCGGAGCGGCGACAAGCGTCACCGAACGCCACACAAAGCAGTAACAACAACAATGAAAAAAAACTGCGACAAAAGCCGCTGCCGCCGACAGTCGCAATCCGTTAAAAATTAATAACGCCGGATGCCAGATAACGATAAAAATCTGGAAGTATCGCGCTCGCGCTCGGCGTAAATACAAAACAAATAAAAAGCGCGGACGACGTACGCGAACCCATGCACTGATTGAATGGTGTCGTTTTTAAAATCCCAGCATGCGCTTGTGTTTACCATACACGGCGTGCTGCGATCCTTTTACACAACGAATTACGACCGCTTTTCCCGGCCAGGACCGTAACGATGATTTCAAAGAGAGTTGCAAACGTTGGGGACAAACGGCAGTCGCGAGAACGGAAGCAATTATTATTTCGTCTTGTTTCTCCTTTGTTTCAGGTCCATTTCTATATGAATTTGAAATGTGTACATATATTTTACACAACGATGCAGTCTACAGTGTGGAACATGTAATTATTAGTTTTTTTGCAATAAAATTAAGAACAAAAAAGTTGTAAAATAAACATACAGGATCTTTTAATAGAAAACTTGTCGAAAATTTAATTTCTCTGTAACATTTATACATAACATAGATCACATGTGCAGTGTTATCTGTGTCACACATAATTATTAAACTCTAACTTTTTATACGAAATAGGATAAAAAAATTTAAGTAAATACTAGCTTTTTAAACGATATGTCAAATAAACTTTGCGATAAAATGTTAAAAATAAAAATTGCAGGGATTTTAAAAATTTTTTGGGCATATTTACTACACACAATTAAATGGCGTATTTTCGATATAAAGATCCAATTGACGTTTTTTTTTCTATAACACTACAGATCTTTATACCATTGGAAAGATCGTCAAAACAGCTTTTCAAAAATATATTATATACCTATAGTCCAATTAACTAAGCCTTTAAATCGAAATTTTGCCAACTTGGCTGAATTTTTGATATGAGTTAGTTTAAGGTATATTATAACAATAAGTGAGAGTAATTTTTTGTTCAACCCCCGGCCAAGGGTGGAAAAAGATAATACAAAGGGCTTTTTCAAGATAACTCAAAAAGGGTAAGCGCTAGAAAAAAATGAAAGTTGTAAAGCAGACAATTCTACATAAAAATGGCCTCTTAACTTTTTCTTGTACTATTACAATTAACAGAGTTAGGGAGGCTAGAAGTTAAGGGAAGATTTCAGAAAGATTTTTTTTTATGTAGAATTGTCTGCTTTACAACTTTCATGAAAAACTTTTTTTTCTAGCTCTTACCCTTTTTGAGTTATCTTGAAAAAGCCCTTTGTTTTATCTTTTTCCACCCTTGGCCGGGGGTTGAACAAAAAATTACTCTCACTTTTTGTTATAATATACCTTAAACTAACTCATATCAAAAATTCAGCCAAGTTGACAAAATTTCGATTTAAAGGCTTAGTTAATTGGACTACTACATATGATGCAGTTTGCGAGATATTAAGTATTTTAATATAATTTTTTATGTAGTCTAGGAAGGATACTAACAATTAAAAAAAAAATAATATTAAATGTAAACTAATAATCAACAAAAACATGTTTACGGAAGCAAAAATAATTCCATTTTTATTTAATTTGTACTAAATTAAAAATATTAAAATTATTCTATACACTATCTACAGAAAAACAATTATTTTTTCGTAATATGCATGGCATACTAGGGCAATTTTACGTGTTAGTATCTTAAAAACCGTTAAAGGTAAGTAGCGTATATAATATAAAATACCTTTGAACAGTGGCGGCTCTTGACTTTCACACCAGGGAGAGCGGAAAAGTTTATGTAAAAGTATTTTAAAAAAAAATTAAATAACCACTGTTCATTTTAGACAGCACTACTATTGGTCTGTCTTTGCAATCAATTTAAACTTTTACAATCTTTAAAAAAAAACGCACAAGAAGCAATACGTATGTAACAAAATTTTACACCACTCCTGATCAAAGTATGTTTAATAAGAAAGAAAGCCGTGAATAGCTACTATTTATTTACGGTCGGACTAAACAGAGCCCAAATTGTGCAGTAAATATGTGCTACTACCAGTCCGTCTTTTACTGCTGCGCGACGGTAACCATGACCACCGTTGTAAATACTGTACAGATGTAGAGCGAGCTACACCGAGCCCACGTATTCAGAGTTTTTAAAACGAATTTTGCAAGTCGAAATTGACTGCATATTACAAATTTAACATTTGCTTTTTAATGTGCCAATTAAGGTTAATCTATTTAATTATCCAGATAACATGATAAACTAAATTTAAATAACATATTTTTTTACTATGAACATTTCTAGGAGGGCACTGCCCTCCTCGCACCAGCCGCCTGCTTGAAAACCACTTTCGACGATCTTTCTCAATGGTCTAAAAATATTCTCTCTAAAAAGTTAATTTTTGACATTTCTACCATTTTATTATTCGCACAAGCTGCCATATTTCTTTAGAATTATCACTATTACTATCATTAAATTTACTAAAACTAATGACTAAATAAATACAGTTAAAAACACTTAAAAGGAAAACTGCCAATGTTGTGTTACCCATCCCCTCCAAAAAATCACGATGTAAAATTTGAGGTTATGAGGCTCTTAACAGAACCGGACTCGCTTGCAAATTGAGTATTTTAAAGTATTAAATATATTAAATTATTTTAAACTGCTATTTTTAAAACCACTCATTTAAAATTATTAGAATCAGCATAGTTTGATTACTTTCCGTAGATTAAAAAAATTTAAAACTAAAATTCACTAAACAAATCCACTGCAAAAGCTATTTTTTATCCGAAATGTGAATAAGCATGTAAATTATTTGAGTAAAAGTGTAAATTTCTCTGTTTTTTTCAACATTAATTCAGAAGAAATTAAATGAATAACACATAAAATAATAAAATTATTGGAAGAAATGAACATACAGTATAGTACGAGTTGTTACATTTTAATGTTTTTATAATTCGTCCTAGAAAAAAAATCGTGGCATAGTGGCATTTAAGAAACTTATAATGTCCAATAGTTTTATCGGTATATTAAAAATATTTTGATATTGTACGAATTGGAACAACTTGTATAAATATTTGAACACATATAAGTGATTTATGTAGACTTAAAATAAAAGCATGGAACAACCAAGACAATGTCTAGCAAAAGACTCAAATGAAAACTGAAAAGTGAGCCGAGTACGACTCTGTTAAGAACCGCGTCTCCCGAACTCTACATTCGGCAACAAGCAGCGAGGAAAAACTTCCACCGGATTAATTTACTTCGGAATTACGACCGCAATTAAAATGTATGTACAGTTAAAAAATTAACACTGTATAACATAAAAATCAGTAGCGTTATAGCCTTTCCGATCTCAATTGAAGACCAAAGAGTTAGGCAGCATGTACAGGTTCGGTCACTACGCAGAACTGAAGAATGCGCGCGGGCAAACGACGCACAAACACCACCGCACTGGGCGACCGACCATAAATTTCAGTTGTTGACACTTAAAGTGCCTAGGAGTGCAGTGCAGTTATATATTTTAATGAAAATGTAAATGTTTTTTGATATGTCATAACCAAAATTTGCCATCAATATAATACAATTGTTCGAGGACATAAATAATTAAAATACGTTGTTGGACAATTGAACATATAGAAATTTTCTACACATTATATACAAATTATTATTATTTTTAATATAATTATTATTAATTTTATTGCTAGGTGTTTTTATACATGTTCAACTGACTGCGGATAGACTATACTATAGTCTGTTAGGAAATGAAAGAAATCCCCCAAAATCATCTACAGGGAGGTCAAAAGTCGTTATAGATGATTTCTTCAAAAATGTCATTCGCAGAAAAGTACACACATTTTATTTTAAAAAAGAAATACTAACGCTAAACAAAATTTTAAGTGAACTTTCAGAGGACAACGATTTGCCAAAAATCAGTAGAAGCAAATTATGGGCCGTCTTACGAGAGCTGAATTTTTGCTGGGAAAAGCAGAACAGGAAGTCAGTTCTTATCGATAAAGATGAAATTATTTGTTGGCGAAGATCCTACTTAAGATCAATTAGAAAATTCCGTGACGAAGGGAGGAATATTTATTATCTAGACGAAACTTGGGTCAACGAGGCATATACTGTAACAAAAGTATGGCAAGATAAAAATGTAAAAAGTTTTCGACAAGCATTTTTGGATGGACTTTCAACAGGGTTCAAGGCACCTTCAGGTAAAGGGCGAAGATTAATAGTGACACATAGGTAGTGCCAGTGGTTTTGTTGATGGCAGTTTACTTTTATTTGAATCTAAAAATACAGGTGACTATCACGAAGACATGAACGCAGATGTTTTCGAAGAGTATTTTACACAGATGTTGGATCTTATTCCTCCGGGGTCTGTAATTGTCATGGATAATGCCAGTTACCATTCACGGCAGACCGAGCGGACGCCTACGACTGCTTGGAGGAAAGCCGATATAATACAATGGTTATCCGGAAAAAACATTTCTTTTGAAACAAATATGGTGAAAAAGGAGCTTTTGACACTTGTCAATCTTAATAAAGATCAGAAAAAATATGTTATCGTTGAAATGGCAACAAATCGCCAAATAACGGTTACCACCTTATCACTGTGAACTTAACCCAATCGAATTAGTCTGGGCGCAGGTAAAATGAGATGTAGCGCGAAATAATACGACGTTTAAATTAAGTGACGTGAAAATTTTATTAAAAAATTCCTTGGAACGAGTAACTGCAGATAACTGGCAAAGATGTATACATCATGTACAAAAAGAATAGGAGAAAATGTGGGAACTCGATAATTCAATTGACGTTACTGTGGAACCTATCGTTATAAATCTAGGAGACGAAGATAATTCATCAGAATATTCAGAGGATGAATTTTAATATACCTACTTTTTTATTTTCTTTATTGTACATTTATACAACACTACATTTACTCACCATAATTTGAATTTTCAAAATACATATATTTTTGTGTGGAATAAAAGTCTATTCATTAAATTTAAATAAATATTTTGATAATAATATTGAATAATTTTATTTGAATTACTAAAAACCCTCTTAACCCGGTTATGATACTTAAAGTAGCCTCATGTTTTGAAATGCTGTTTTTACATTGTTTATTTATAAGAGAAATGGACCGAGAAATTGAAGCGGCAT